GGGGGCTGGCGGTTATAGTTCTCTAAAGGCGGCCGTGGAGTTGGTTGGAGGAGGCGATCAGAGGGGGCTAGAGGTAGCCACAACCAGAATTGGCCAAAGGTGGCGGCAGCTAGAATTTCTCGGAGGCGACATCGACTAAAGACGACGACAGCCGGAGTTCCTCGGAGGTGGCTGAGGTCGGAAGTGGTAGCAATGGTCATAGTTGACAGGAGGCAGCGACGACTGGAGGCCGAAGGCAATGAAGGCCGCAAGCGATGAAGACGGAAGTTAGCTGGAAGTGCGACAGCTGGCGGTAGTCGAAGTTGGCCAAATTTGCAGTGCACGATGTTGGGCTGCAACTCCCTCTTATGCAAGCTCTGATCTTCTTCTTGCTCATGCTCTGTCTCATTTTATGAGAGGGGGTAAGGACTCTACTTATAGAGTCTAGCTTGCAAATAAAAAAGGAATTTGGATCCCTCTTGATTGGACAATCCACAGAGATCCTCTTGACCGAACAACATTAAATAGACATTTTATTGTCTTAATGATGCTGAATTTGAGCAATTTTGGACGTTTGGAATTTATCTTGTCGAGATGCTCGATTCATACTATAAACAGTTCATATTCAAAATATGTTTGAACTTCAAATTATGCCTGGACAACTTCTAAAAGCAATTTAACAGCTTGATCTAGATATAATTTGAATTGGATTGTACCAGGTATGGTATCATTGTGTCCATCTCATTGAGCTAGTTAGTTTGATTGTAAGTTTATTGAAATTGGAGTTCTGTATGACATTTAATTAAAATTTGAACGTTTTCTGCACTAAAAACTGCCTTGACATGCCTCTAGATTTGGGTCATATGATATAACTTTGTTGATGGCATATTATTTGTTCCTGTATTTTCACGTGAGGCCAGTTTTTTTCGTTTGAAAATGTAAGAAGAATTACACATTCACATATTTATAAATCGTAGTGTATATTTTTATAAAAAAACTCTTTAGTTTAGTTGGCATCTGATTTGTTTTATTTGTATAAGGTCATGGGTTCAAATTCCTTAGCCGTAAAAAAATTGAATTATTTTTTATGCCAGAGGCGGTAGCCAGAGTGGTCAGAGGTAGCCGGTGGTGACAACGGCCAGAGTTGGCAAGTTAATGCAATGGCCGGTGACGACGGTAGCGACTGCTGAAGTTGGCCAATGGTGGTAGTGACCGGAGTAGTTAAGGGTTGGAGGCGGTTGAGGTAGAGTTGGTGGTGACTGGCATGCTCAGAGGTAGCTGGCGATTGCCATTAGTGCCCAGAGTTGGTTGGACGTAGCGGTGTCGGTGACGACCGAAGCTAACCAAAGGCGGCCCTATGGTGGTTGAAGTTGTTCAAAGGTAGTCAACTATGGAGGTTACCAGAGTTGGTCGAAGGCGGTGATGGTTGGAGGTGACCGAAGGCTGAAGCAATCTAATTGATGGTGGAGAGCCATATCAATCAAAGGTAGTCAACTATGGAGGTTACCAGAGTTGGCCGGAGGCGGTGATGGTTGGAGGTGACCGAAGGCCGAAGCAATCTAATTGATGGTGGAGAGCCATATCAGCTATTTGTTGGCATGGACAACGAGCTGCCACATCCGTGATATGTGGGATGATGGATCATACAACAGAAGGGGGAACGATCAAGTGGATGGTAGATGGCCACGTCAGCTGTCCGTGGGCTAAATTTGTACTGTTAGAAGGCCAGTCTTTTTTTTTTTTTTTTTACTATTTTTGAGCTTATAAATAGGCCAAGAAGAGGAGGAAGGAGGGTGAAGTCCCTGAACCTAGCCAGCAGACAATCTGGGATTTCCCTTGAGAAGAAGGTTATCACCGACGCTGCTTAACAGAATATTCAAAATCTTCTTTCGTGCTGCTATGAAAGAGAAAGTTATCACCAACCATGCCTAATATAACATTCAGGATTTTCTTTCGCCATCTTCTTTCGTGTTGATGTAAAGATAAAAATTGTCCCTGACCTTGCCCAAGAGGACATCTGTGATCTTCTTTCGCACTGCTATAAAGAAAAAATTTGTGGCTAACCCTGCTCAACAAGACATTCGGGATCTTTTTTCGCACTGCCCTGAAAAAGAAAGTTGTCTCGGATCCTGCCGAGTAGGACATCTAGGATTTTCTTTTGCTTTGCTTTGAAGGAGAAGGTTATCTCCGACTCTGACCAGCAAAACATCCAAGATCTTCTTTCATAATCTTCTTTCATGATGGTGAAGAAGAAAGTTGCCCCTGAACCTACATAGTAGAACATTCGTGAAATTATTTTCATGTTGTCATGAAAAATTGCATTTTTCACTAAAAGGAGTCATCAAGAAGTCTGAAATTATGACTCTGGAAGAATGTACAGTGTTGGATCAAACGACCTATGATTCAATTTGTTTATCATTTTTATTGTCTATTGCGTTTAATATAGTGAATGAGAAAACTACAATGGATCTCACGATGATACTAACAAAGATGTATGAAAAATATTTTGTTTCATGCAAAGTTTCTCTTGAATAGGTCATTCAATATAAAGATGATGAAAGGTAGTTCAATGATTGAACACTTAAACAATTTCATTACTGTTATTAACCAGTTGCGCTCTATTGATATCAAATTTGAAGATGAGATCAAGACATTGTTAACTATGTTTTCATTGTCGAATAGTTAGGATAGATTGATCACGTCAAAAACTCTTTTAGTAATATGAAGTTGAACTTCAATAACATCATTGGGTTATGGCTAAATGAATAAGTTAATAGAAAGATAATAAATGATGAATTTGATTCATGTGTTTCTTTTCATGCATTCCCCAACAAAGAGATGATTATAAATGAAACTTTATTTAGTTGTTGATTTGCATCTTGTTGCATCCACATTACTTTCAATCCGTATTCTTTGTTATTTTCATCTCATAACATTCTAATGACACATAAAACTAAAGGCGGCAAGTCAAAATCTTTGTTTGACCAAAATAAATTTGTAAGCTCCAAAGCTGAGTGTTACAATGACTTCTTGATATCGAAGAAGTTGATTG